TCTCTCTCTCCTCTCTCTCTCCTCTTTCTCTCTCTCTCCTCTCTCTCTCTCTCTCCTTTCTCTCTCCTTTCTCTCCCCCTCTCTCATCTCCCCTCCATCTCCCTATCTCCTTCCCTCCTCCTCCCTCTCTCCCCCACTCTCTCCCTCCGTCCCTCCCTCTCTCTCCCTCTCCCACTCTCTCCCTCTCTCCCTCCCCCTCTCTCCCTCCCACACTCTCTCTCTCTCTTTCTCTCCCACACTCTTTCTCTCCCTCTCTCACCCCCTCTGCCTTTCTCTCTCACTCTCTCTCTCTCACTCTCCCTCCCTCTCTCTCTCGTACTCTCTCTCTCTCTCTCCCTCTCCCTCCCTCTCCCTCTATCTCATTCTCCCTCCTTCGCACTCTCTCTCACACACTGTCTCTCTCTCACATTCTCTCTCTCTCACACACTCTCTCACACTCTCACACAATGTCTCTCCCACAATCTCTCTCTCTCTCTCTCTCATACTCTCTTTCTCACACACACCCTTTCTCTTACACTTTCCCTCCCTCACTCTCTCTCTCTCTCTCTCTCTCTCTCTTTCTCTCACTCTCACACACACACACACACACTCTCTCTCACTCACTCTCTCTCTTTCTCTCTCACACTCGCACAACCTCTCTCTTACACTCTCCTCTTTCTCTCTCTCTCTCGTTATATTTATTACCATTACCCGATAAAGAAGAAAAAATATATTATACCTTATTATTTTATGTTATAAAATTGTTAACCTGATATAACCCCATTATAACTCCTTTCGTACAAACTGTCATTCAGCTATCATTCGCTGCGATGACAGCTGCGAGCGACACGAATGCAGCCATGACCGATCGAGACGATTGAGACAGTCGACACGGCCAATCAACATCGCGGAAAAGAGGCTTCAACGATTCGATAAGAAATACATTCACGATAACACGCACTTTTTTAGATAGGATAGGATCCTCTTTTCAATACAAACAGCAATAAAAGTTCTTGTTTCCTCTGCAGTCCAATTAGAGCCTTTTCCGTTTCTTTTCACAGTTATTGAATAAAATATTTTTGAGGTTAATTTATACCTTGAAGTTCTATTTATATTACTTTAATTAGCAAAGACATTATTACTTACGAACTTTCATCTTGTTGAGAACCGCCGCTGCATGACATTTTATGTATTTGTTTTTCTTTATGGATAAACAAATCTTTATACACTATGGCGTACCGCCAGCGGCCCTGAGCCGCAGAGTAAGCGCTGCGTCCCTGCGTACGCACGGCAGACGCGCGTGATAACGCGCGCCCCGGCACGCGCCACGGCACGCAAGTCTACCGCGTCGCACACACAGTACGCGTGATTAACTCACGTGCCGCAAGGATCAGACGATAGGTGTCGGACGAAGACACGAATCGCGATTTCAATAATCAGCATGGATAATGATATAAAGAGCACTACGGCGAGCAGGATCACCATTCCATTTCCAGCGCTTGAGAGATACTCGAGACGATCGCTTGGAATTTTGGCGAATACGCTAGCTTTGCCTTCTTGAGGAGAGCAAGCTATTTTTGTGAGAGCACATGCTACGGAAGCGTACCCGGCCGTTGCCGCCGACCACACCACTCCGTAGGACTGTTATAGGGTGGTCACACCCCGGTTAGTCGCTGCACTGCCATTAGCCGGACTCGTCTCCCGATAGCTCAGGTAACGGGGCCACAGCGAACAAGTAAGCGCCCGCTTGACAGCCTAGCAGCAGCGGTCGTCAGAGCTCCAGACGCAGCAACACGCACGGCGGATGCCCGAACGCCAGCAGCAGCAACCCGAGTGGCAGTCGTCGTATCCGCCAAGCCAGCCGCCACCGCAAGATCACCTCGCCACGCGGAGACGCCGATCAGCCCAGGAGGGGACTACTCCGAACCTCGCAGCGAAGTCAGCCTTCGTACCTGGCGATTAGGACCGAGCGAGCACTCACTTGTCCACCGGCGCATTATTTGGTAACGGAAGACCAGCGTCTCGAGCGGCGGCAAACCTCTCCTAGACTACGGAGTTTACCGCCTAGCCTGTGGGGACGCAAAGTAGCGAACGCCGCTACGCAGACAACTCCTCCGGCCTGAGTGTGTAGGGGTACCTCGCCAGGAACTTCGACAGGACACACACAACGTTGGAGCGACTCGAGCGACCAGGAGCATTTGCCGGAACTCCCGTGCTACGGGCCTATCTTGGTGACTTTAACGCAGCCACACCTCGCATACCGCGAACGTTATTATAAATAATGTAAATAATAAAGCGATATAAAGATAATAAACGACTGTACTCCTCCTAATCACTAAGTAGTAGGCTAATATAATCCTACACACACCAATATCAACTTTTATGCTCAAACTTTAGGTCGAGTTTTTAAGTCGTGTTGCATGTTTATACCAAAAAAGCAGCAATGGAATTACGTAAAATGATAGACGAAGAAATAGAAAGAAATTTCCTGTCTATATAAAGAAAGTAACTATGTAAGTAGAATCGTGCATCATTGGGCTGTTTCGGTTGTCATCCGAAGTGCTGGAAATAGAAAGACCTTCATAGGTCTTTCTATATCTATTTCCTAACCTTTACGAGGCAGTTTATATAATGACGTGTGTACGTTCTCTAGTTTTAGGGTGTCTATGTTCTTGCTAATGTTATTAATGAGTGGTAAAGTGAATGAATTTCATATGAATTTAAAAGAAATTATGGGTAAATATTATTTCATATTATATTGAATATATATATCTTACCATACACACACACAAAATTACTTAATTAAATTAAATTCATATTTAAACCACCTTGTATTTGTTCCATTTGTTATTTTAATCAATAATGAAATAAAATATGAAAATTATATTAAAATCTTATCAGCCCAATGAGCAAAATGAGTGCAAATTGAGCGCAAATTGGCAGCAAATTCGACCAAAACTTGATGCCAAAACCATATGCAACTGTGTCCTCTTTAGGATTGTGTTTTGACGTCAAGGCTTGATGCGGGGCAACTTGCAGTAAATTTGCAGCAAAAACAATGCAAGTTTTGCTGCGCATAACTTAACACCAAATAGGCACCAAACACTGAGCAACACTTGCGCACAAGACACGAAAGCAAATTGGCAGCAAATCCGCAGCAAGTCTTGCACTCAATCAGCTGATCGAGATGGTGGCGATGTACGTTGGGTTTTAAACCTATACAGGGTCCTAACCTATACAGGGTGCACGATTTATCTGAAGACATTGAAATATCTCGAGAACTATGCATTGGATAAAAAAAAGTGGTTAATGAAAGTTGTTAGTCTCGAAGGGGGACATCCAATGATACCAAACTCGACCTCCCACCCCATCCCCTGGGGGTGGAGGTTGGGCGCAACTTTGAAATCTTAAATGGAAACCCCCATTTTTTATTGCAGATATGGATTCTACGCCACAAAATACATAAATTTTGTCCGAAACTTTTTTTTTGATTCGTGATAGATGGCGCTGTAATCGCAAAAAATTATATTTTCCGCAATTCTCCAGAAATGATCATTGGATTGAGAAATAAAAAATACCTGTCCAATATTTTTAAAGAACATAATAAAAATTATTCCCCCTCCCATCCTTTCGGGGTAGGGTGGGTGGTAACGTTTAAATCTGCATGACGGTTGCCCAGCGTATAACTCAATAGCAGCACGGGAAGTATTAGACCGTGATTACAATGGTCGGTAGATTGGCAGAGGTGGCCCGATTAATTGGCCTGCTAGGTCGCCTGATTTGACATCGCCGGATTTCTTTCTGTGGGGTTACCTAAAAGATAAGGTTTATCAACAAGTGCCAACAACTCGTGAAAACATGGTAGAACGCATAAGAAACGCTTGCGCTAAAACTCCCGCAGATATGCTTCTATCCTGTGTACAGACATTTGAAAAAAGGATCAATAAGTGTATTGAAGTTGAAGGTAAAAATTTCGAACACTTACTCTAATTAATTGAACAGTGAGAGGCAAGGGGACTCACATTAAAAAAGCACCCCGATCTGTGAGAGGCAAGGGGACTCACATTAAAAAAGCACCCGAAGGGAACATAAAACTACTACGTCCTCGTCGTTGTTCCTATGTAACGCTAAAAGTAGTTTTTCGGAAAAATTCAACGCTATCTATCACGAATGAAAAAAATTGTTTCAATAAAAGTTTCACGTACAATCTAATTCTGCAATGAAAAATGTGGGTCCCCATTTGAGATTTGAACGTTATCACCCACCCTACTTCGAGAGGATGGGAGAGGGAATAACTTTTATTATGTTCTTTAAAAATATTGAACAGGTATTTTTTATTTCTCAATCCAATGATCATTTCTAGAGAATTGCGGAAAATATAATTTTTTGCGATTACAGCGCCATCTGTCACGAATAAAAAAAAAAGTTTCGGACAAAATTTACGTATTTTGTAGCGTAGAATCCGTATCTGCAATAAAAAATGGAGGTTTCCATTTAAGATTTCAAAGTTGCCCCCAACCCCTACCCCCAGGGGGTGGGGTGGGAGGTCGAGTTTGGTATCATTGGATGTCCCCCTTCGAGACTAACAACTTTCATTAACCACTTTTTTTTATCCAATGCATAGTTCTCGAGATATTTCAATGTCTTCAGATAAATCGTGCACCCTGTATATTGCTAAATTTTAATTACAATTCTGCATTTAAAAAAGGAAAGGTGTATATAGAAATAAATATTTAACAAAACAGACTGTGTAATTTATTATATAAATATATATACGTATAAGATCACGATATTCGTAATTATCGTTATTTACATGTAAACGAAAGGTGAGAAATGAAATATATGCGGACATATTGACTTGTGTATTCTATATAATTTCTATATAAATATTTTACAACTATAGGTACTATTCTGAATTTTGAAATTTTGACTATAAATTCATAATCAGAAATTCTAAAAACCTTTAGTAAGACGTGAATTAGACGCAGATTATTTCTAGAAAAAAGTCAGACACGAAAGGGTTAATTCACATTGTATAAGTTTATGTTATGACTACGAAAGAAATATTAGTATACAAAACTATTCAGAATTCTTATTTTTACTTTCCACTACAGAAACGAGCTAACACGCGCACGGTAATCGTTACATACTACAAGAACTTACGAGAAAAGATTACAAAAAAAGTATCAAAACTTGCGACCAATTTTTCACGCGTCAAGAGAATACTTAGAAGGAAAGATCTCTTTCCCATTTCTTCGCGAGAAGTTTACGACATCGCGTTCTAAATTAATGTTCGCTCAAATATTTTCAGCTAAGAGTCCCGTCTTTTCGGGACTGACGACGATACGGTCCGCCGGCGGAGATGCTGCGCAAACAGTGCGACGCCTAGCGATTTGAAACCCGCATACGCCAAAAACTATTCCCATTGGGCGACCCAACCAGATACACGCAAATCGTCTTCCACAGTTTCGATAAGGACGGTGATGATTTCATCAGCTTCAGCGATCTTCGTCTTTCACAGCATCGATCGTGAACGGCATGGTCGATCAGCTCTCTTGGATATTTGGATGAGCAGTAATGATGAGCTGTTAGTAACGGACTGTCTGATTCCAGGTTCATTTTCGAGCGCAACCTAAAAGATTTTTATTTCGTGTCAGTTAAGAAGTTCGGTTTAATTTTTTGTAACTTCTTCGGGCACAGACTGACCACTTTGTACTTTACCTTTTTCTTGCTGTTTAATGATGGCTGTGCAGAGAAAACTTATATATATAATCATTTTTCCTCGGAATAATATTCAAAGTTAAAAAGTGACATTTAAAAATGTTAATATTAGTCGCAATAGAAATTTTGCTTGATTATTGGATATTTATTAAATATTTGATCACTGATACTTATTGAAGTCAGTAATCTCGAAGGTTATAACATGCGAAATACTCTCTGGACCTACTTTTCATTAGATTCTACGATTTTGATGGAGACGGTTGCATCACGAAGCGAGAAATGTTGGTCATAATATCCGCGATTTATGAGATAGTGCAGGACGCGCAGACCATCCAGCCTGCAGTTAACATCCAAGTGGACAAGTTCTTCAAGGAGATGGACATAGACAGAGACGGAATAGTCACCAGGGAGGAATTCATAAGCGGTTGTAAAAATGTATGAGCAATTAATTTCCATAGCGTCTCGCGATACGACATCGTTATTTTAGTGATAATGAATAGTAGAAACGTGTATACATTTTGAAATTTAATAAATATTTTATCTTCTTACAGGACACCATTATATACAACCAGTTGAGTTTATTTAATAAGATTTGGTGACCGAATGAAAAAGTCCTTCAGAGATTAACGAGCAATTTATCCACACACGCGTAAAGCCATTAAAATACTTGTAAAAACTCACCCGATTTCTCCTCTTAAATAGTACATACATTCTCTATGTCATTTATCGTGAGAGTTCCTGCGCAATATGTTACAATCGCAATATCACCGTAAATGATCAGTCCATTTCATTAATATCACATACAAAGGGCTTTCAGAACAGTCTCTTTTGTGAAATGTAAAACATGCAGGCGAGGAAGAACGCGAAGGCCAATGCAAGTAATACTTCATCAGTGACTTCGCATTTACCATATTTTCCTAAGAGCTTTCCCGATTGCACTATCACTTGCTCTTGATGCTCCAGCTCGTTTCTCGTGTTATCAACCTTGTCAGAGGATGTTACTGAAACAACAGCAAAATCGGTAGAATCGTAATAATTATTCTTAAACAGACAATATATAGTGAGACGATAATAATAAATAAGAATTTATCTAACAAAGAGAGAAATTACATGGTGCAGAAGTAATCCTTACGGTGATAACGCTTTTTTTCAGGTGATTCTCAAGATTTGAAAGTCACCTTTGTTTTTTTTAATGGAATGCTGTTTCTGAGTTTATTTTTCGATAACAGTTATTAAAAGAAATACAATCACCTACAATAAAGAATGATTCAAAATCAGTCATGATACAAAAAAACATTTTAATAAATTTTATTACATTTTTAATTAAAACATTTTATTTAAAAAATAACTTAGGAAAAAATGATAAAGGATTTAGATTTTTAAAGCTTAGTTTACTTAGAAAATAAAACTTTACTACTATAAGACAATTGTTTCAGTACCATGTATTTTCTGTTAAATATTTTTCTATTCTCACATCTCATATGTTCAAGATATTCAAGATAGGATAATAGCTGCTTCATTCTGCATGATAGATATCTAATAAATTCAATATTTTTATGAAATAATTCAAAAATATAGTACGTACACAATATGTCCAATATATCAGCACTTCTCTGAGTTGTCTCAGCTAGATGCCTTACGATGCTGAATAATTTGTCTGTGATTTGGCTAGAAGAATCTATCAAACTTTATTTGTCTCGTCGTTTACGAAGAGCATTTTGCCACTCTGGCAAGGAGAGCAGATTCTCCCTAGCTAATTTATCTATTTCTATGATACAAGTGCTAACGACATTAGCCTTGCGAAAGACCACCAAGAACATATTTAATTGATCCTTATAGCTCTCAACGATGGACAACAACTCTTCTTCTTCTCATTTGGTTCGGTTTCAGCAACAGATGCTAATCGCTCTATGGAGGATTCTAACACTGCAATTTTGGTCCTATCTTCGGTATTGAATTCGTCTAATGCTTTCAACAGCCCAGTGCATTGTTATATGTCCTTAACAGAAAATACATAGTGATTTGTTATTTGGCTTATCAGAATATAATTCCTAACATATTATTTATTATTATAAATATGATCCTACTATTTATTATTGTCAAACATGATATTAATTTTCTCTTCTTCTTTCCTTCTTCTTTTTCCAGAATTGATGTTAATCTAAAGTTGAGATTGAGGTTATATCTCATAGTTTATGAGATAGAATCACACATATATATACATATATTTACTTGTATTAAAGCGTTCACTTGAAGATGATCCTTCACAATATCCTGACGTATCAGTTCTGCTATGTAATTCTCGAATCCATTTATGTGTAAATTATTTACTCCTACGTGTCACTCCTCTCTGCATGCTACAACTGACAACCAGGGGGTTCAAACTCGCCTCTTGTGAGAAGGGGACACTATTTTCAGCGCCGCCTGGAGCACCAGCCCGGAAGTAACGAACTAAGGAACGAGTGGTGGGGAGGTTGCCGCCATATTTAAATCACACCGCGCGCGTGTGGTACATACTTAGATATTAAAATTAAATTTATAAGTTCCTGAGCGATATTGTAAAGTTTAAATGTTATTTACGTTTCTTAAGACTACGTAAAAAATGTTTCACACATTTAAAATAGTTTTCATTTATAATCTTAAGTACAGTAAATAACAGTTAAACTTAATAACATCGCTCAGAAACTTATCACTTTGTTATTAATTTGTGCAAACAATATTATTGGGAGGATTATAATATATATATATGTTAATATTATATTATTAAAATATATTACAATGCACACAAAGATATTTATCAATGTATACATTTGTACATTTAATTACATTAAAATAGAACATAATTACATATTACTTTTATTAGTTTTTTGTTGCACAAAAATTAAAATATAACAAAATATATATAACAGGTAAATATAATAAGTAAACTATTTGAAAAAAAGTAGTAAAAATAATAATATAATGTTGAATCGTGTTACATATGTAACTTATCTAATATTTTCCTTTGTACACCTGTAACACATAAAAAAGAGACTATATTTAAAACATATGCATTTATTTACATATATATATATAAATGCACAAACATATATCAAATAAATTTCAAAATTAATAAAATATACCTGCGTAGCATTTAAGGTCATTATGTCACAAGCATTTATGTCACAATGAAGTCATATTAACATTATATTATGTGAATGTCCGCATTATCACAGACATGATGTCAGTGACATTACTATGAGGTGAAATTCCCAGTTGAATAACAGTGATGTCACAGTGATATCATGCCTGTGATAATGCGAACATTCACACGTCATTATAATGTGACTTCATTGTGACATAATGATCTTGAATGCTACAGAGGTATATACGTAAGCATAGTTTGAAAAGTTATCGACCTGACATATACATGGCATTAGAAACTGTCAAACTATAATTGTATTGGAAAATGGCATCCCTGATATAAACCCATGTAAAATTTTATTCGATTTGTCAAGTCATTCGAGTAGCAGCATCAGTTGAAAAAGCTTTGTGCAAGATAGGTGCCACATTTGCTAACAATGGACCAAAAACGCATTCGAATGCGTATTTCTCAAGCGTGTTTGGATCATTTTAAGCAAAATAAAATGGATATCAAGCGTTGTTTCATAACTGTTGATGAAACTTGGATCCATCACTATACACCAGAGCGAAAAGGACCTTCCGGAATCACACTTTAATGATGGTATTGAATTATTGGAAAAACGTTGGAATAAATGTATTGAAGTTTCAGGAGATTATATTGAAAAATAAAATATTTCACGGCAAAACAAATTTTCTTTTATTGTTAGGCCGAGAACTTTTCAGACTGCCCTTGTATATATATATATATATATATATATTAAGAAAAGGAAAGCGAGAGAGAGAAAGAGGAAGAAAGAACAAAATAAACAAGCATATAGAAATATATATGCACACTTACCAATCAGGTCTGTTCTTTTTATTGCTGCAAGCCATATTTCTGTTCGTTGCACATCTTTTGGAAATTGGTGCCTTGGAATATTTTTATTTGATGTGCAATTGGACACACAACATTTATGCACCATATTTCTATAAATGTAGCTAAAATTTTAATTGTATTATAACTATGACTATAACTAATAACTATAATAAATTATATAATAAATTGAAATCTAATATATATTATAATATCTAATATAATAAATAATATATAAACTAATAATATATAATATAATATCTAATATAATAAGGATATATAAAATATTGTAATAACTATATATATGTAATGCAATCACTATTATTTACTAATAATAATTAAACACTATAATAATTAAACACTATAAATCACTTAAACACTATCAATTAAACATTTATACACTATAAATCACTTATACACTTAAACACTGTAATTTACTATACAACTAAAAATGAAAAAAAACACGTTATAATATATTATAGAATATTCACTACATAAACACTAATAGCACTGAAAAATTTGCGTTTAGCGTTAATTGCACTATGCTGTATTGAATTGTTTAACCATTAACGGTCAAGGCAAAACAAATCAAAATCAACTTGTGGACAAGGGGAAGAGAGAGGAAAAGAGAGGGATCGACTGTGCTGCCGCCTGGAGCACCGACCACTGAACTGAACTTTCGGAGTCAAAAAATACGGGGAGTTTGAACCCCCTGCTGACAACTGACAACAAAACTCTGGGGCTCAATTATTTGGTCTGTTCTTTTCAGCTGCACTGCGGTCACTGCGGAACTAGTGCAATAAGTTAGAATGAGACAACTATATTTTTTCTCACTTTAACTTATTGCACCAGTTCAGTAGTGCAGCTAAAAAAAACAGACCACTTGAAAGCGTATGAGATATGTCGCATGCGAGAATTGTCGCATGACATCTGGGACTCGATTTCTGACGGCATGCGAATGAGATGCGCATACGAAAATCTATATTATATGTAACGTAAATTGTACATTTTCGCATATGCATCTCACTCGCACGCCGTCGGGAATCGAGCCCCTGTGACAATTGTCGCATGCGACTCGACAGCGGTATTGTCGCTACTGTCAGGAGACTCTTAACCAATAGAGAAAGAGCAATAACAAAAGCGGGAATTTTTCTCCACATGACGATTAATAGAGATGGATACAAAAAGCAGGTATAATATTGATAGATATGGAATCAAGTAACTTACTTCCACAGATGCATCTAATGCTGAAGATCTTTTTGGATGATGGTATTGCTCTACGATATCAATAATATTGTCAGCCTGTCTTCTAGTTAAATGAAATAATTTTATGAATTGGTTTTCTGGAAGTTCAAATAGATCTTCTCGGGTTCGGAAATGTTTCCCATTTCTTTGTACATGTCTTTCTGCTTCAGCAAGCATATCAGCACCAATAATATTAGGTGTAGTAAAAAGAAATCCATTATTTTTCCAATAGATGGCTTTAGTTATCTGTATCTCGCGTTGTATAAGTCCGATCGGGTTCCACTAGATGGCGTTAGAAAGATGAGATTTCGTACTAAAAAAACTTTTGTGACAGTTTTGTAATTAGTTGACTCAGTTTTGTTTGAGCGCGCATCAAAGATGGACACTAGTAAAGAGAAAATACGCTATATTTTACAGTTTTTCTTCGATAAAGGCGAAAACGCAAGCCAGGCGGCTGAAAATGTAAATAGTGTTTATGGTCCTGATACTGTAACAGCCAATCACGCGCAATTTTGGTTTTGTCGATTCCGTTCCGGTAATTTCGATGTCAAAGATGCACCACGCACTGGAAGGCCAATTGTCGAAAATATCGATAAAATCATGGACATTGTCGAATCCGACCGTCATGTAAGCACTGTTTCGATTACCCAAGAGCTAAAGATTGCACAAAAAACCGTTTGGAACCATTTGAATAAGGCTGGATACAAAAAGAAGCTCGATGTATGGATGCCACACGAGTTAACGAAAAAAACCTCATGGACCGAATTTCCATCTGCGAATCGCTTTTGCATCGCAACAAAATCGACCCATTTCTGAAGCGGTTGGTGACTGGTGATGAAAAGTGGATCACTTACGACAACGTCAAGCGAAAACGGTCGTGGTCGAATCGCGGTGAGCCGGCGGAAGCTTGGCGGTGGCCAAGCCAGGATTGACGGCCAGGAAGGTTTTGCTGTGTGTTTGGTGGGATTGGCAGGGAATTATCTACTATGAGCTGCTCCCCTACAGCAAAACTCTTAACTCGGAACTGTACTGTCAACAATTGGACCGTCTGAAGGAAGCAATCGCCCAGAAGCGGCCAGCTTTGGCCAATAGGAGAGGAATTGTGTTCCATCAGGACAACGCCAGGCCACACACATCGATAGTGACTCGCCAGAAGCTCCGGGAGCTTGGATGGGAGGTTCTTATGCATCCACCTTATAGTCCGGACCTGGCACCAAGTGATTACCATCTGTTCCTGTCCATGGCAAACAATTTTGCTGGTGGAAAATTCGCTTCAAGAGAGGCTTGTGAAAATCGACTGTCTCAATTTTTTGCCAATAGGGACGAGGGCTTCTATGAGAGAGGCATAATGAAATTACTTTCAAAATGGCAACAAGTTATCGAACAAAACGGCGCATATTTGACCTAAATCGGATCATTCTAACTATGGTAATTAAAGCCTTCAATTTCATGCAAAAATAATGGATTTCTTTTTACTACACCTGATATTACTATATTGGCCATGTTAACCAACTTCTGTAACAAAATTATTTAAGAGTATACGCTCGAACAATGTATATAACTAATGTGGGATGTTTCCAAAACTTACCTTATTCAAAATGCAATAACATAGGCAACAATATAAGCTATGTTCTGATATTCATTCTCAATACTGAAAATATATAGTTTGTGTCACGTAAACTATAAATTTTCAGCGCTGGCAGTAAAGTTGGGTAGATCCAAACTTTTGAAGTTAAGAATTAAAGCTTAAGGCCGATTTCTTTCAGCCAATAAGAAAAGTTATTTAGGCATATGTACACGTTTTCACGCACGTTTCGATTTGGTTTGGCAAAATGTCCGACAACGAAGAATATGTTGCTGACATTGGCGACGAAGTGTTAATAACAATTGTACAAGCAAATCCCTGTTTGTATGCAAAAGATAATAAATATTATAAAAATCACAACATAAAGGAAATGAAATGGGAAGCGATTGGTAAAGCTTATACCAAATAACTAAAAGCTTATTACACCTATTGTAGACCCAGCCTAATGAAAACATAATAAGCACAAAATAAATTAAGCAAGAAAAAGATATGTATTGGTATAGTATAAGGAAATATTAAATATATGCTTGTACCTTCAATCATTTTTGCCAAGAGTTTCATTGTACTTAACACCAGTCCACCAGTCATCTTTAAATTCAGTTTTATCTATAGTTATAAAATGTTTATATAGAATCAGGATACATGATTCAAACAAAGATGAATTTTATTGGTATAAGATTATTTTATAAATAATAATTTTCTGCTGACCAACATATAAAACTGTAGGTCTTCGTTTTCGTTGATTTGGAACAGATACCTCACAGCGATCTTCAATTTTATATAGATTGACTAAACGTTTTTCTGCTTTCTTCTCACGTTTTTTCTCTTTTTCTTTTTTTTCTTCGTTTCTACTCTTTTTTTCATATCTTCTTCATTATATTTTCCTACTTTGTTCTCAAGAAATGCTTTGACAGTATCTACAATATAAAACATAATTATAGATATTTACCTTTTCACCCAAGTGTGGAAATGGTACGTGAGATATCCTTTTAAAATATCACTTCCACTTTGCAGTCTTCAGAAAGAGATGGACGAGATGAATCATCAGTTGCAACGAATTCACAAATTAATATCCCACCGCATATATTTCATTTCTTACCTTTCGTTTATATGTAAGTAGCGATAATGACGAATATCGTGATCTTATATGTATACAGAGTGCACGATTTATCTGAAGACATTGAAATATCTCGAGACCTATGCATTGGATAAAAAAAAGTGGTTAATGAAAGTTGTTAGTCTCGAAGGGGGACATCCAATGATACCAAACTCGACCTCCCACCCCACCCCCTGGGGGTGGGGGTTGGGGGCAACTTTGAAATCTTAAATAGAAACCCCCATTTTTTGTTGCAGATACGGATTCTACGCCACAAAATACGTAAATTTTGTCCGAAACCTTTTTTTTGATTCGTGATAGATGGCGCTGTAATCGCAAAAAATTATATTTTCCGCAATTCTCCAGAAATGATCATTGGATTGAGAAATAAAAAGTATCTGTTCAATATTTTTAAAGAACATAATAAAAGTTATTCCCCCCCATCCTCTCGGGGTAGGGTGGGTGGTAACGTTCAAATCTCAAATGGGGACCCACATTTTTCATTGCAGAATTAGATTGTACGTGAAATTTTTATTGAAACAATTTTTTTCATTCGTGATAGATAGCGTTGAATTTTTCCGAGAAACTACTTTTAGCGTTACACAGGAACAACGACGAGGACGTAGTAGTTTTATGTTCCCTTCGGGTGCTTTTTTAATGTGAGTCCCCTTGCCTCTCACTGTTCAATTAATTAGAGTAAGTGTTCGAAATTTTTACCTTCAACTTCAATACGCTTATTGATCCTTTTTTCAAATGACTGTACACAGGATAGAAGCATATCTGCGGGAGTTTCAGCGCAAGCGTTTCTTATGCGTTCTACCACGTTTTCACGAGTTGTTGGCACTTGTTGTAAACCTTATCTTTTAGGTAACCCCACAGAAAGGCGCGTCGAGCAGTTCCCTCTTCGATTCGGGTTCCCATTTAAGATTTGAACGTTACTATCCACCCTACCCCGAGAGGATGGGGGGGGGGAATAACTTTTATTATGTTCTTTAAAAATATTGAACAGGTATTTTTTATTTCTCAATCCAATGATCATTTCTAGAGAGTTGCGGAAAACATAATTTTTTGCGATTACAGCGCCATCTATCACG